GTTGCCCTTCGTCTTGTGCAACGCGAGACCTGCGAGCAGCACGTTGACCTGAGTCCACCAGCCGCTGATCTGGTCTCGCAGAGGTGTCGCACGCACCTTCTGTGGAAGCTTCACTGTGGTCACTGTGAACCTGGACCCCGTAGCCCTCGATGGGCCTCGCGGCAAGTCCACGCCATGATGAGAAGTAATTGTGGATTCGACAGCTGACACCCAGGAGGCGTAGATGCCTGAAATAGTCTCAAGCGCAGCTGGCTTGAGCCGAAAGGCTACGGATTGACGCAAAGCAGGAGCAAGGGACTGCAGAGTGGCCGCCCCAGAAATGAACCCTACGTCACGTCTACACCTAGTCCACAAATCGGTCGGGATATCGAACGACGGGACCCCTCCAGAGCTGCCCCCCTCCAGCCCAGGCCCCTGGGGGCCTCCAGCCCCAGAGGAAACCAGGGTCTGCGACTGAGGATGGCCAAGAGCAGGAGCCGCAGCGCTCAAAGGCTCCACCCCAGACTGCTCGGCCACATCAGGCACGCCCCTGGAGACCTCGTGAGACCTGTTAGCGGGCCCAGGCTGGGGATCACTTAGCATATTAGCTTGCTCACTATCTACTACAGACGCTACAGCGAGAGCGGGGAGGAGGGAGGAGTCGGGACAGAAAGACAATTCTTCGGCCCACGGGTCTTCCCCCCCAGGCCACTCATCATGATTGAAAGGATCAGTGCACTGCCCCCCTACCCCCGAGGCCGACAGGCCATTTTCCCCAGCACCGCCAGCCTCAGGGATCGCAGCGGATTGCTCGTTCTGGCAGCAATCCTCAAACAAGGAAGAAAACTTAGCCTCTCGCTTTTCGACTGCGAGCTGATGCTGTACCCTACGCGTAGCTTTCGCCAAGCAGGACTTAGACCCCGCGGTGGCTTCCTTACAAGGTCGGGGGACCTGCGGGAGGCGCCCAGGAGTCTCCAGAATTCTCGTCAGGAGCTGGTCCCCTGACCGACGCATGACGATCTCGAGCCCTATGTGTGGCTTCCAGGGAACCGAGATGACAGGCCTAATGTCGGCAACAAATGGCACTGCTGACTGACTGCATAAAAGGTAATCTATAACCGTGCCCGAGCCTAGATTACATGTAACAGTCCCCTTTGCCTGCAACACCACAGCGTGCAACCGACTAACAATGCCTGACCTCTCTAGCTGCTGTGGGGGCATATTGAAGTCGCCTACAACAATCCAAGGGAGCTGGAGAGACCATAGGAGCCCCGCCAATCTCTGAAATCTGCCGAGGTTGGCTCCACGGAGCCCGATACAACTATGTGCAAAGAAGTTGGTCATGAACATACTGAAGCCTGAAAAATGAACAATCGTGGCGATAAAGCCATCAAAGCTAGAAGGGTGGAGCGGCGCAGACAATCTACTCACAGCAAGCCAGGCGGCTGGGAGTCGATGCGTCTGCAGGTGCCCCTTCGACATGAACCGCTCGCCGCCCTCCTTGGAATGCTCCATCAGCGCCTCCCTCTTGGTGCCGACAGCAGCCTTCGCCTTCGACGACGGCCTCGCAGGATTGGTGAACAACCGCGGGCCCTTCCCCCGAGCCTTGGCATCATATTGACGTAGAGTCTTCGCATCATGGATGTGGGACTCCACGATACTGACGAAGTCGAACGACTTGGACACAAGCCAGTTCCAACACTTCTCCCCCATGCATGTGACGTTAGCATAGAACCAGCGACTATGCTCCCCCGCCGCCTCATCAAGCGGCCCTGGCGCCCTCGGCGCTGCTCCAGCTAGTCACGAGCTGGCGCCGCTCGTGGGAGCGGCGATGCCCTTGCCGTTGCTCTTGCCATTCAGCTTCTGCGACTCCGCCAGGAACTTGGCGTCGGACAGCCGCTTGGCCTCGTCGATGATCTGCTTCTCCTTCAAGGCTTGGGCCTCCTTGGCCTTGGCCTCGGCGGCAGCGGCCTCGGCGCCTGCAGCGGCAGCGCCGCCAGGCGAAACCCCACCTGGGGACCCCGAGGCCGCCGCCTTGGGCTGCTGAGCGCTGTCGGCCCCCTCGCCGCCCGCCATGGCCTGGCCATCGGCCCCGCGTCTCTTCTTGAGGAGGCGCTGCTCGATGTCCTTCTTCACGGACTCCATCTGCTCCAGCCACGCCTTGACCTCCGCCTCCTTGGAGGCCATGGCGCCCTGCGTGGCCTCGAGGTTCTGCTTGAGAGCCCGCAAGGCCTCGCGCTCGTGCTCCTCGCACTCCATGTTCTTGATCTGGTCGAAGAACTTGCTATCCCAGCTAATGTGGAAGATGGGCTACCCGTTGGTGGCATGCTCCTCGGCCCCAGGCGCTGCAGGCTTGGCCTCCACGCCCTCGGCGTGTGCCACTGCCTGCGCAGCTGCCTTGCGGGCCATCGTGGCCTCCGCCGCCGCCCGAGCCGCCGCCGTCTCCTTTTCCTCAGCCACAGAAAGCTGCTTCCGAAGTCGCAGCACATGTGAAACTTGTTGCGAATGACGATGCTCTGCATCCTTACACACACCTTCAGCTCGACGAAGTGCCTCTACGAGGGACGGCCCATTCTTGGGCTTCGTCGCCTCTGCCATGAGCCTGTCCACCTGCATGCGCAAGCAGCCGATGAGCTCCTGATCCTCTGTCGCTTGCAGCGCCTGGTCCAGGATGGCAGTCACGTCCTTGCCTGCGCTACCCTGGCCGCCCTTGGCCTTGGCGCCGTTGCGGCTCTTGCCGCCGCCCCACTTGGTCCCTCGAGGGACCACCAGCTCGTCCTCGCCGTCCGACAAGTCGAATGTGACTCGGCTCCGTCCCGCCGACGTCGCACGCGCCTTGAACAGAGGCACCCGAGAGCCGCAGCCTCGGCAGATGCAACCTGCCTTGGCCAGCTCGGCGTTGTACTCACATACCCCGCAGCCTGGGCACCTGCTCCATGGGCCCCGACTCCTCGGGACAGGCGGTCCTCGTGCCATTGCTTCTCCGCTGCTTTGGTCGAGATTGGGCGCGTTTGTTCGGAAAGTGGCGCCCAAATCTAGTCACTCAAGTGCCTCGGTGCGGCACAGGGGAAGGAGGCCAAAACAAAATGACTTGACCCCCAATACTTGAGGGAGGGGGAGGGGGAAGAGGAGGAGGAGGAGGAGGAGGAGGAGGAGGAGGAGGAGGAGGAGGAGGAGGAGGAGGAGGAGGGGGAGGAAGGCTGTAGGCTGGGCAGAGAGCTTCTCCGAAGGGTGGAGGTCTCCAGAGCCTCTCCGAGACGGCCCGCACTCTCTGCCTCGGCCTTCCTCCCTTGGCGCGCCGCCGGCACGAATCCCTGCGGAGGCCCGCCCAGCGCTTCTCGGGCCGGCGCGGAGCCCCCCCACCGCCACGACGCCGACGACGACGACGACGATGACGACGTGACGACGACGACGACGCGACGCCGACGCCGACGCCGACGCCGTCGCCGACGCCGACGCCGACGCCGACGCCGACGCCGACGCCGACGCCGACGACGACGACGACGACGACGACGACGACGACGACGACGACGCGCTACCCGCCGGGGGCGGCGCCGGAGGCGCTGCCCGGGGGTGCGGGGGAGGGGGTGTGGCGCCGACCCGAGAGGTCCGTGCGGGCCTGACACGATCTTGTCCGTCCGCGGCCCACCCTGACTGCGGATCCGCCCTACTTTTGGGAGATTCGTAAGTAGGGCTTGGAATTTCCGCCTTGCTTTTCAAGCCCCGCTGATGCCAATTTCCGCCCTACTTTTCTGTTGCTGTTTCCGCCCTACTTCTGTGGATTTCCGCCCAGTTTTACGTTGGGTGCAGAACTTTCCGCCCTACTTTTTCGGCTTCTTATAGGTGGATTTCCGACGCAATTTCAAGTTGGAAAAATCGTTAAAGTAGGGCGGATCTGGAGTCAGGGCAGAGGTCCCAGTCCCTTCCCCGGGGCCAGTTTTTCGCCCAGATGCGTGCTCTTCCCTGAGGTCCTGGCGTTGCGATGTTCTCACAACCAGCGTTTTCGATCCATTTCGGGCCCGGGGACCCTCGCGGATCGATGCGGATCGAAGAGTGGCGCAGAAAAAGGTGGGGTCGGGGACTCCGGTCGTGATTTTGTTGCGATGCTGTAAGTTTCTCGCTGCGTCGGATCTCAGGGCTGCTGGTTCGGCGGGGCCCGATCAGATCGGGCCCCAGAGGCCAGGGCCGACGGAAGATCGGGGGGCCCAGAACGGCGTGGTGACCACACCGCGTGGTGACTCATGTTGGGGATGCGGGACCACCGCACGGTGTGGGGACTCGGGGTCATCGTGCGGCGATGGACCGCGCAGGGACGTCGGTGATGTCGTTGCCATGTGATTAGTGCGTCACCACTCGGTCTTGGGGCATCAACGAAGACGCCCCGACGTCGGAGATCTGGAGACCCAGACCCCCGACGTCGTGATTGTTTCACAGCGTCCACCCCCCGATGTCTGGACCCCTTCCCCAGGAACCGGCTTCTCATCCGGAGTATTTGTCTGACCGCCCCCGGGCCCAGGAAGGGCCCCCAGAGGCCAGACACAGCGAAAAGCCTCCCGTCGTTATTTTTGTTCACCCCGCGGGGGGTCTGGGTCTTGGGGCATAAAAAAACCGCCCCGATCCAGGAAAAGAAGATCGTCGGAGATCTGGGTTTGTGCCTGTGCCTAGATGGGGTCGGAGTAGATGGGATCGGAGGATCGCGCCGCATCGCCGATGCATCGACGATGCAGCCTGATGCGGAGCCCGAGTTTCTCCACGACGACGTCGCCGATGTGTCGCCGACGTCGGCGATGCATCGTCGATGCATCGCCGATGCATTGGCGATCCATCGGCGATCCAGTGCAATGTTCCGACCCCATCTACTCCGACCCCATCTACCCAGACCCCCCGACGTCATGATTGTTTCAGTACGTCGGCCCCAGAGTTCTCGACCCCTTCCCCAGGACCGCTTTGTGATCCCGAGTCGTTTTCGGACGCTCCCGAGGCCCGGTGAGGGCCCCCAGAGGCCGAGAATGGCGAAAATCCTCCCGTCGTGATTTTTTCACTGCTCGAGGGGGTCTGGGTAGGAGGCCTCTATGTGTGCCCCTGCCTGCTTGGCCTTCCGCCCACATCGCCTTCACGGGGGCGGGCATCTCCACCGGCGCGGGGGTCGCCGACTTCCGCAGCGGGACGAACACCGTGCTGCCCACGGGGCCGGGGCTCTGGGAGCGGCCGAAGGACGCAGCGCCGCCGCCGACGATCGGGGGCGGAAAAGAGGGGGGTGATGGGTGATGACTAGGGGGGGGGGATATCATGGCGGGGGCCATGATAGTTCCCCAGACTTTATAGCGCCTCTGTTGCGTCCCTGGCCCCCCCGCTGGGCCGCGCACGTGCCGCCGGTCATGATCTGCACCCCCCCCTCTTGGACACCCCCCTCTTTGCACTCGCGTTGTGAAAGAATCGCGGCCGGAGGTTTTCCGCTATTTTCGGCCTCTGGGGGTAGGATGTTCCAACCGACTTTAGCCTTGTGATCACCGGAAAGAACTTCGAACACCAGAAAAGGACCGAAACTCGCTGGTTTTCACGTGGCGGGCCCTGGGGGACACTGTTTCGACACTCCTTCGGCACGCTTTTTCGACACTCTTTCGACACCTTCGCTGGTGCTCGGAATCATGTCTGGGACGTGGTCCGTATGACGGACCCGTGCTTCTGCCCATCACAGTTGTCAGCCACTTTTTTTCAATGTGGTCCATTTCAGTGCATTTCAGGAGCAATTGATCGTAGGTTGAAACCTGGATGCTTCGAAAGAACACACAGACAAGCAGACAAGACCAGAACCAATATTAGAGAGAAAAAAAATGTCTGGGACGTGGTCCGTAAGTACGATGGGAGCAACAGAACTCTGGGGGCCCTTCCCCGGCTTCGGGGCCGTCCCAGACCGACGCGGGATGAGAAGCCGGCCCCTCCCAGACCCCCGACGTAATGATTTTTTCGTTACGTCGGCCCCAGAGTGCTCGACCCCTTCCCCAGGACCGGTTTGTGATCCTGAGTCGTTTTTTTGAGGCTCCCGAGGCCCGGCGAGGGCCCCCAGGGGCCGAAAATGGCGAAAAACCTCCCGTCGTGATTTTTTCACTGCTCGAGGGGGTCTGGGCTGGGGACGGGGTCCAGACAGCGGTGTCGACGTCGTGGCAGAAGCACGGCGCCGGGGGCCGGGGTCCGCCGCCGACGGCGGCGGCGGCGGCGGCGGGCTTGAACCAGTCGGAGGCGCACAGGCCTCCTGCCCTGACGCGTCGATGAAGGAGTTGGCCGTTTGCGGTTCGCGAGAGGGCGTCGCGGCCGTCATTGTTGCGGGTCCAGGTCCGTCGGTTTCGGTCCCAGGCCGTTTTCGTTGAGGGGAGGTGTGCTATAAAAGGAGGTTGGTCCACCGCCGAATCGGGGGCAACGTTAATTAGCTTGGGGTGGGCTCGGGGGGCCGAGGGACCCAAAAGCGGCACAAGCATCAGCTGCCGGAGGTCTGCGCGGACCGCCGAAAGTGCATGCCTGTGCCGCTTTCCCCTCTTCTCACCACCCACCAAACCACCCCAACCCAACCCGAAGGCTCAGATTTACCCTCGAGTTCTAGTGGGGGGGGGTTCGGGAAACATCGAAAAAACACGCGTGGAACCCTTACCCCCCCCAACCCGAAATTCGGGTCTTCGGGTTGGGTTGGGGTGGTCTGGTAGGTAGTCATCTTCTGGGGGGGGGAGCGCATCCACCCCCCCTTGCCCGTGGGCCTCGCCGCTGGAGGCCCGATACTTCGCCCACCCCGCCGAGGAGCGCGCGTATTATAGTCGCCAGCGGGGGCCCACCGTCGATCTGTCGGCGATGCGCACCTGCGGTCCCAGAGATCCGACGTCGTGACTTTTTCCAATGCGGGGTCCCTGGAAGCGTCGACTCCTTCCCCAGGGCCAGTTTTCCATCCCGAGTCGTCTTTTGACGGCCCCGAGGTACGGCGAGGGCCCCCAGGGGCCGAAATTTGCGAAAAACCTCCGTCTTGATTGTTTCATTACGTTGGATCTCTGTGGTCCTCCCGTCGAAGAACAAACAAGGACATGAACGTGCACCTTGGGCGCTCCAGGCGAATGAACGTCTCGTGTCTGCGCCGGGACCTCCCGGCGCGGCGCCTTCGGCGCCGCCCCTGGCGCGCTCCGCGTGCCCGGGAGGGGGCCCCAGCGCAGATCCCAGAAGTCCGCGCGGAGCGCCAGCTGGAGGAGGGGGAGGGGGGGGGGGAGGGGGGGGGGAGGGGGGGGAGGGGGGGGGGGGGAGGGGGAGGGGAGGGGAGAGGGAGGGGGAGGGGGAGGGGGAGGGGGGGGGGGGGGGGGGGAGGGGAGGGAGGAGGGAGGAGGAGGAGGAGGGAGGAGGGAGGCGGAGGAGGAGGAGGAGGATGAGGAGGAGGAAGGAGGAGGAGGGAGGAGGGAGGAGGTGAGGACGGGAGGAGGGAGGGGGAGGAGGAGGAGGAGAGGAGGAGGGAGGAGGGAGGAGGAGGAGGAGGAGGAGGAGGAGGAGGAGGGAGGAGGAGGAGGAGGAGGAGGAGGAGGGGAGGGGGAGGAGGAGAGGAGGAGGGAGGAGGAGGAGAGGAGGAGGAGGAGGAGGAGGAGGAGGAGGAGGAGGAGGAGGAGGAGGAGGAGGAGGAGGAGGGGGAGGAGGGGGAGGAGGAGGAGGAGCAAAACCCCCCTGTGGTGGTGTTGGTGCCCACTTCCAGGCCCGACAGCCCACCCGCGCCGAGGAGCGCGCCGCGAGCCGCCGTCGGGGCCGCCCGGCGCCGCTCCGCCGGCGGCGCGCCTGCGGTCCGAGCCCGCTGCTTCCCCCTCGAAGGGGCTTACCGGCCTCGAGCGCATCCCTACGGTAGGTTTGCGTCGTGTCGACCAGCGGCGACCCCAGCGCGGGCGTTCAAGGTTGAACGCCGCCGGCGACCCAGAATCGATCGATGTTGAACGATTGGACGTTGCGGGAACGGCCGATCGTTCAAGGTTGAACGATCCAGCGCGGTGTCAGAAACCAACGCCAGGGTCGTCACGACGCGAACCTGCCGTATCCCTAAGATCGACGCGCCCACAGGCGATGACGGTCCCCCAAAAAAAGAATAGAGAGGGAACCCCTAAGATTGGCGTCGGCCTCGAGCGCATCCCTATCCCTAAGATCGACGCGCCCACAGGCGATGACAGTCCCCCCCCAAAAAAGAATAGAAAGGGAACCCCTAGGATTGGCGTCGTGAAATGGGGCATCGCCCTCAGAGAATAAAAAGGGGATCCCTAAGAATAAAAAGGGAATCCCTAAAGATGGGGCTTCGCCCTCCAAAAAAAGAAGGGAAGCCCTAAGATTGGCGTCGTGACGAGGAGGTGCCCGGCATAGGGATGGGGATCTGTTCCAGGCTGGCAAAGAACGACAAACGGCATCAACGTTTTGCGTCGGCGGCGAGGCAGAGGCAGTCCGCTCCAGCGCGTGGCCAAACCAATGGCAAACACATGAACTCTCGGCGCTCCGCGTGAATTTCTTGGATCTGCGCTGGGACCTCCTGGCGGCGCCTCCGGCGCCGCTCCGCGAGCCAGGGAGCGGGGGGGTGTCCAGCGCGGATCCAAGAAGTCCGCGCGGACCGTCACACTTGTTTTTTTACAGTGGAAGCCCATGCCAAGAAACACCCTGCTTGCCTCCAGGGTGCCCTGGGTTTCTTGGTCTTGAATGGTTCTGCCGTGGAGAGCGTGACGCTCCCGCACCAAAAAGCCGGTGGACGTCCTGGGGCCTCAGGGTTGGGCTTCTCGTGGACGGCTTCTTGTGGTCGAGCTCCTGCTGCACCCCCCGCCCTCCCCGACAGGGAGGGAGGAGGAGGAGGAGGAGGAGGAGGAGGAGGAGGAGGAGGAGGAGGAGGAGGAGGAGGGAGGAGGGAGGCGGGAGGAGGGCGGAGCGGATGATGATGATGATGATGATGATGATGATGATGATGATGATGATATGATGATGATGATGATGATGATGATGATGATGATGATGATGATGCTGATGATGAGGATGCTGGTGATGATGATGCTGCTGCTGCTGACGACGATGATTATGATGATGATGATTAATGATGATGATGATGATGATGATGATGATGATGATGATGATGATGATGATGATTGCTGATGATGATGATGATGATGATGATGATGATGATGATGATGATGCTGATGCTGATGCTGATGAGGAGGAGGAGGAGGAGGAGGAGGAGGAGGAGGAAGAGCGAGGAGGAGGAGGAGGAGGGAGGAGGAGGAGGAGGCGGCGCAGGCAGGAGGAGGAGGAGGAGGAGGAGGAGGAGGGTCTTTGCTCGGGCATCCCCCCCCCGCGAGCGGGTCCCTCCCCGACGCTGCCCCGGCGCCCGAGGACGCGGCGCCGCCGCCGGGCGCCCCGCGGGGCGGCATCCTGGAGCAGTGCGCCCGGGCGCGCCCGGGGCGCACGCACGGCGTGGTGCAGAGGCTCTGGGAGGCCCGCCGGGGCAGCGGCGGCGGGGGTCCGACGAAAAATCGAGACGAAAAATCGAGACGAAAAATCTCTGGGTATCCTCGCCGGGACCGGGACGGGCCTCGGGACGGTCAAAAAATCGAGGCAGAGGTTTTGCATAGTTTTTGGCCTCTCGGGGCCCTCGCCGGGCCTCGGGGCCGTCAAAAGACCACTAGCGGGACGAAACACCGGTCCTAATTATGGGGAAGTGGTCGGGAGGTCGGGGGCCCGCGTCTCGAAAAAGGCGAGACGTCGGATGTCTGGGGTCGGGGCCCGAGCCGCCCAGACCTCCTCCTCGCGCCGCTGAAGGAATCCCAGACATGCTCGCGTCGGAAACAAAAAAAAATCAGGGCGAGGCCTTTGGCCATTTTCGGCCCCGGGGGGTCCTCGCCGGGCCTCGGGACGGTCAAGAAACGACTCAGGATGAAGAACCGGTCCCGGGGAAAGGGTCGGGACTTCCAGGGACGCCGTCCTGAAGAAATCAGGACGTCGCATGTCTGGGATCACGGCGGGGGGGGGTTCGCTGTCTTCGGCCTCCGGGGGCCCTTCCCGGGCCTCGGGGCCGTCAAAAAAGGGCTCGGGGCGAAAAACCGGTCCCGGGAAGGGGTCCAGACCCTCACCCCAGAGATCCAACGCATGGAAAAAAAATCAAGGCGGAGGTGTTTCGCTAGTTTCGGCCCTCAGGGGCCCTCGCCGGGCCTCGGGACCGTCACGAAACGACTCGGGATGAAAAACCGGTCCTGGGGAATTGGTCGAGAGGTCCGGAGACCCCGTATTGAGATCCGGGCCGAGATTTGGGAAAAACCTCCGTCTTGATTTGTTCAATACGTTGGATCTCTGGGTAACCGCATGCCGATGATCATAAAGGGACCCCCCCCCTTCAGTGTTTAGAGTTGATTATCGTCGCCCTATACAAAATTCAAATTGGGCGGCGAGCGCTGAGGCCGAACTTCATTATCACCTCGAAACGCCATGTTGAGATAGCAACATCAAGCGATGTTGATATAGCAACATCAAGCGAAGCGATCACACTTTTTCAGGATGTGTCAAGCGAAACCAATAATTTTGGGAGGCAGACTCAAACGAAACGAGCAATGTTTCAAGGATGTCTCAAGGATGTTTCAAGCTAAACCAGCAAGTTTTTTCTTTTTCTTTATATTTTTTATTATCTTCCTTTTTATATATGTATATATCCCCGCGCGCGCCTGAACTTTTTTATCTCTGGGGTTGATTATCCATGGAAAGGGGAGCACATGAGCTACCCTACATGAGCACTTAAAAAATCAACTTTCATAAAGCGTTTGTAAATTAAAATTGATAGATTTGGAACTTTCCATTTTTCCGTTCTTCTTCTCTTCTTCTTCTTCTCTTCTTCTTCTCTTCTTATTATTATTCTACTTTCTTCTTCTTATTTTATATTTCTATCTGTCCTCACGCTCGCCTGAACTTTTTTATCCCTGGGGTTGATCATCCATGGAAAATGAAGCACATGAGCTACCCTACACGAGCACTTAAAAAAATCAATGTTCATAAAGCGCTTGCAAATTAAAATTGATAGATTTGGAACTTTGGATTTTTCCTTTCTTCGTCCTCTTCTTATTATCCTCTTCTTCTTCTTTCTTCTTATTATTCTACTGTATTCTTCTTCTTTTATATTTCTCTCTGTCCCCACGCTCGCCTGAACTTTTTTATCTCTGGGGTTGATTATCCATGGAAATTGAGGACGTTACAAGCGAAAAAACACAATTATTTCGAGGATGTCTCAAGCGAAATAAGCAATAGTTTGACTGTGTCTCAAGCGAAATAAGCAATAGTTTGCGGATGTCTCAAGCGAAACAAGGGATTTGTCGAGGATGTCTCCAGCGAGATAAGCCATTGTTGAGGATATTTCTATGAAATCTAAACGCCAAGGATGTCTCAAAACGTGCTCGGCTTGGTCTCCTCTTGATCATCTCTTACTTCGAGATTATGCTGAGGTCTGCTGGGCTACTTTTATTATCTCTCCCTGAACCCCGAACTTTATTATCCCCTAGTGTTTATTCTCACGGGCATGAGGTTATCCATATATATGTATATATATATATATATAGTGCAATTGTGGAGGAGGGGGGGGGGCGAGGAGGAGGAGGGGCCCTGGTGGCGCCAGCCGCTCCCCCACGCGTCCGCCGAAGCCGCGGGGCGTGGCGGGGCGGCTTCCGGGGGCCCGAAGAAGTCGCCCATCCCTTTGTTTGTGTTTTTTTTGTTGCTTGTTTGAGACTGTGTTTTTGGTTGTTGTTTGTGTTTGTTTTTTTTTTGGGGGGGGGGGGGGGGGGGGGGTGGGAGTGTTTTTGTTTTTTGTATGTTGTTTATGTGTTGTTTGTGTTTTTGGGTTTGTTTTGTTTTTTGAGTGTGTGAGTTCTGGTTATGTTTGTTTTTTTTTTGAGATCCCGGCGCTGCAATCCCAGACGTCGGGCGTCTCGAAAAAATCGAGGCAGAGGTTTTGCATAGTTTTTGGCCTCTCGGGGCCCTCGCCGGGCCTCGGGGCCGTCGGGACGAAACACCGGTCCTATGGGGAAGTGGTCGGGAGGTCGGGGGCCCGCGTCTCGAAAAAAGCGAGACGTCGGATGTCTGGGGTCGGGGCCCGAGCCGCCCAGACCTCCTCCTCGCGCCGCTGAAGGAATCCCAGACATGCTCGCGTCGGAAACAAAAAAAATCAGGGCGAGGTCTTTGGCCATTTTCGGCCCCGAGGGGTCCTCGCCGGGCCTCGGGACGGTCAAGAAACGACTCAGGATGAAGAACCGGTCCCGGGGAAAGGGTCGGGACTTCCAGGGACGCCGTCCTGAAGAAATCAGGACGCCGCATGTCTGGGATCACGGCGGGGGGGGTTCGCTGTCTTCGGCCTCCGGGGGCCCTTCCCGGGCCTCGGGGCCGTCAAAAAACGGCTCGGGACGAAAAACCGGTCCCGGGGAAGGGGTCCAGACCCCCACCCCGGAGATCCAACGCATTGAAAAATCAAGGCGGAGGTTTTTCGCAGATTTCGGCCCTTAGGGGCCCTCGCCGGGCCTCGGGAGCGTCAGAAAACGGCTCGGGATGGAGAAGCAGTCCTGGGGAATGGGTCGAGACTTCGGGGGACCGCGCACAATCACGACATCGAGTCTCTGGGGTGGGGGTCGGGGCTCGAGAGACGAAGGTCCCCCCCTCTCCTCGCTGGCCTCCCCCCCTCTCCCCTCGTCCTCCCCTCGTCCCCCGTTCCTCGCATTTTCGCTCCCCCTCCAACGCCCTCCTCCCTCCCTGACGCGGAGGCCCCCCCCTTGCCCGCTGGGGTCTTGCAGGATCCTGCAGGGCCAGGGGCGCACTGACCCAGGTTTGGGTGCAGGATCCTGCAGCATACTGTAAGGCCCGACTGACCTGGGTCTGGATTGACCTGGGCCAAAAGATCCCCGAGGGCGATGAGCATAGGGCAAGAGGTGGCGAGGCGTCTTGGTTTGCTTATATAGACCCACCAAAGAATGTTCTAGGCACTTTTTGTGGTTAGTACGACATGTTATTAGAGCATTTCTGGATGAGACCGTGTTCTTGAATGAATCGGCTTCATGTTCTAAGGTCATTTTTCTGGTTGTTTCTAACATGCTTTGGGTATTTCGTGGTAGGCCAATAGGAATTCACATGCCTTTGGCATGTCGTGGTAGGCCTATAGGAATGACTGGACGGTTTCGGGGGGAGGGGGCGCGAAGTTTCGACGTCTCCGTTTTTTGTCCGACATGTCCTGACAGCTCCGAATGATTTCGGATTGGATGGGACAGGGGCAACGCGTTCGGACGGTTTCGGAGGTTTTCGTCGGCTCTTGGAAGTTCTCCAACCTCGGGATGCTCTCCGACAGCTGCGCCTCGCAGAGAGCCTTCAGAGGGTGCCGAAAGGCCGTCTGGGAGCCGAGTCATGACCCGAAAACCAGTGGTTGACGACAGGAGGGACAGGCTCATGCAGGACGCATCGACTCCCAATCGCCCGTTGGTCGCCGATAGGGGCCTGGTAGCCTCACACCGCCCGCGAACGTGCGGATCTGCTTATGGGGGGCCTGTCTCCGATGTGTCCGCGATGTGCTGCCGGTCCCAGGTCGATGCTTCGCGCCCCCCTCCTGTGCCAGTCCTTCCTCATCGTTGCCCCTCAGGCTGGCAGGCTCAGGCATGTCATCTCGCAGAACGTCGACGGCCTCCACAGGATCGGCGGCGCGCCGGGGGGGGGAAGTTTGGGAGTGTCGAGGTTCTCGGGCGTCTTCGCCGGCTATCGGTGGTCATCTTGCTTTACCCCAGCATCAGAAGGGATTCTTGCCACCCAGCCCACCAGGGGAGGAGCCGCAAGGAGACGAGTCCTGCGAGCATCCTCCTCCTCCTCCTTCTTCTCCTCGTCCTCCTCCTCCTCTTCCTCCTCCGCCTCTTCCTCCTCCTCCTCCTCCTTCTCCTCCTCCTCCTCCTCCTCCTCCTCTCTCCTCTCTCCTCTCTTCTCCTCCTCCTCCTCCTCCTCCTCCTCCTCCTCCTCATCATCATCATCAGCAGCAGCAGCATCATCATCAGCAGCAGCAGCAGCAGCATCAGCATCATCATCATCATCATCATCATCATCATCATCATCATCATCAGCAGCAGCATCAGCAGCATCAGCATCAGCATCAGCATCAGCATCAGCATCAGCATCAGCATCATCCCTCCTTCCTCCTTCTCTCTCCTCTCCCGTCATCCTTCCTCCTTCCTCCTCCTCTCTCCTCTCTTCTCCTCCTACTCCTCCTCCTCTTCCTTCTCTTCCTCCTCCTCCTCCTCCTCCTCCTCCTTCCTCCCCTCCTCCTCTCCTCATCATCATCATCATCATCCATCAATCATCATCATCATCATATCATCATCACATCATCCCTCCTCCCTCATCGTCTCTACTCTCTCCTCATTCTCCCTCATTCCTTCTCCTCCCTCTCTATCCTCCTTATCCTCCTCCTTCTAAAAAATTCCCTCCTCCTCCTCCTCCTCTCCTCCTCTGTCTCCTACCTCCTCCTCCTCCTCCTCCTCCTCCTCCTCCTCCTCCTCCTCCTCCTCCTCCTCCTCCTCCTCCTCCTCCTCCCCTTCCTCCCCCTTCTCCTCCGCCCTGCTGCGCCACGGCGGGAACCGGCCTGCCTCGCAGCCTGCGCCCGAAGCGGGCCGCCCCGCGAGCGCGCGGCAGGCAGGCGGCGCCGCGAGGCAGCGCATAGGGCCCAGCGGCGCCCAGTGCCCGACGTGGCACCCTGCTGGCGACCGGCAGACACTCGGCCCCGCGGGGACGCGACACCCCCCAGAGGTGCAACGCATTGACGCATTGGGAAAGTCAAGAGGGAGGTTGCTCGCAGATTTCGGCCCCTGGGGGCCCTCGCTGGGCCTCGGGACCGTCAAAAGACGACTCATAGGATGAAGAGCGGGTCCTGGGGGATGGGTCGAGACTTCCGGGGACCCCGCATTGAAAAAATCCCGACGTCGGATCTCTGGGCCCGAGCCCGAACCTGGCATGGTGGCGCCAGCGGCGCCGAAGAAACCAGGCAGGACCGCCTGCGGACCGCCGCCGGCACAGGCGGCAACGGCAGCGCAATGTCCCCGTGTCTGTTCCAGGAGCCAGGCATAATTATCTGCGTCTGCGGATCGCCCATGATCCGGGAAGCTCCGCTTTCCCCTTATCGAAGTCATTCCAGTCCCGAGATGGTCTTCAGCATCTGCGCCTCGCCGAGGGCGTCCTGAGGTGCCCCGATCGTCCCGAACTGCCGCTGGGGGCTGCAGCTGTGACCCGAAAACCACCAGGCGTCCGAGAGTGGGCAGGTGCTCTCAGAAGGCGGCGGTGCTTCCCAGAAGCCCTCCGGCCTTCTGAGGAGCTCCCTGCGACTTCGGCGAAGGCTTGGGACGTTCCCAGAAGGTTAGAGGGCCCGACCCCGCTGCCTTCCACCCCGACCGCGCTGCCGGCAGGAAGTCCGGCATCCCACGGCGAGCCCTCTCGGAGCTCCACGGCAACATCCCGAAGAAGCAAATGTGGCATGAGCATAACAAAATCGTCGGAGGCTCGCGCGGAGAGGCAGAAGCTGTCGGAGGGGGGGCCCAGCGCCGATCCGAGAAGTCCGCGCGAACCTTCGGGAGCTCAGCCCCGAGATACGCCCGTCTTGGAGCACAGCACGTGCAGTGTCCAGAACGTCCGTGTCAACAAGTTGCGTGTTGGCTCAACGTGTTGGCCCACGTCCTGGCGAACGCATCGCGCCAAGCGCAGGTGTTCCCTCGACGCGTTGAGCTCCGTGTCGACACGCCACGAGTGGCGTGTGGCGTGTCGGGGAGGAGGAGGAGGGGGAGGAGGAGGAGGAGGAGGAGGAGGAGGAGGAGGAGGAGGAGGAGGAGGAGGAGGAGGCGTGTGGCGTGTCGGGGCAGCTGATAGTCCGGGAGTCCACGCTCGTTCCGCTGTTCCTTCTTCTGGCATCTTCGTCGAGCGCTGCACACGGTGCGGCCACGAGTACGAGCGGGACTTCAACGTGATCTGCTCCGGAGGTCTTATTTTTTCGTTTTTTTCTTTTCTTTTTTTTCTTTTTTTTTTTTCTTTCTCTTATGTTCTTTTTTTTTTTTCTTTTCCGGAGGCCGTCAGGGGCATGCGTTAGCTGGGGGATGGGCGCACGGGGGACCGCATCGCCCCCCAATCGCCCATCGCCGATTCCAGCTCGAGGCTCCCCCCGAGCTGGCCCCCCCCTAACGTTGCCCCTCGAGGCCTGACCGGGCGGCACTGCGAGCAGCGGGGATGCGCCCACCCGCTCCGGCACAGCGGCGTGGGCTTCGGGCAGGACCTGCCCGAGGAGGTCGTCGAGCGCGCCTGGGCCGAGTCGGAGAGGGCCGATCTGTGCCTGGCCCTCGGCAGCTCCATCACGGTGACGCCCGCTTCCGAGATGCCGGCGTGGGTGGCCTGCCTTCCAGGGAAGGTCGATGGTCCTCGGGACGCGTGTTAGCCCAAGCGTGTGCTTACCTACCCCGTTCGGCTCCGCCAGTAGCGCGCAGCCTGTGTCTGCCCTCGTCGTGCCGCCTGCGTTGTGTTGGAGGGCCTCGGTGGACAAACGCGCGTTGGTGCTAACACACGTTCTGACGATCATCGAGAAGAACAATGGCATAAACAAAATTTTGCGCTTCGCGCGGATTTCTCGGATCGGTGCTGGAGCCCCCTGGCGGCGCTTCCGGCGCCCGCTCTCGGCGCGCTCCGCGCGGCGAGGGGCAGGGGGGGGGGGTCCAGCGCTGATCCGAAGCAATCCGCGCGTACCTGGCGTTTTCATGAGGAGGAGGAGGAGGAGAAGGAGCAGGAGGGGTGGGTGGGGCGGAGGAGGAGGAGGAGGAGCAGGAGGAGGAGGAGGAGGAGGAGGAGGAGGAGGAGGAGGAGGAGGAGGAGGAGGAAAGCCATGTGGGCACAGGACATCCTTTTTGGCGTGTGTCTTGCCCTTGGCTTAGGCGCCACACCCCTGGCCAGTTTCAGCTGCATTGCTGGTGACTGGGGTGTGCGCGATCGGACCCAGCCAGTCAGCATTCCGCCTCCCAAGGAGGCTTCTTGGCACAAACGGCAGCGGCAGAAGAGACAGCGTGCCAGGGTCCTCCTGGCAGTGCTCAGAGCCCAGGAGGTGATCCAGGAGCACCACTCAGCTCAGATGTTTGGAACATGGTCATGCCCGTGCGGTCGCTACGTGAAAAATCACCAGAGATGCTTGTGTGGATGCCATTTCGACAATCGCCTGCGCCAGGGAGAGCAGCCGCAGAGACAGCCTCACCAGTCAGCACGGCCGAGGGCCGACGCCACCATCGAGAGGAGCAGGCTGCCCCAGGCGAGGCGCGATCGCAGTGCAAGCCGCCCCAGTCGACGTGGGCGAGTGGAGCCCGACAAGCAGATCAAGCAATACGTTTCGAAGGTCATTCCCATGACACGTGCAGAAGCAGTCGAGTACGAATGCTACATCGACCCACCGACGAGCGACCCCGTTCAGCAGAAGCGCTACCAGGACGATACCCGCAGCCGCATGGTGGAATATGCGACCATGGCGCTTGCAGCCAAGCGCGCGGCCGACACCGTCGAGGCGGGGAAGTTGGACACCAAGCTGTCAGTGCTCAAGTGCATGATGGGGTTGACGCAGCCAACAGGGCAGCAGCTGGCTGCCATGAGGCAGAAGAAGGATCAAGCGGTCGAGAAGCTCAAGAATACGCGTGCCAGAGTAAAGATGCTCCAAGAGCAGGAGGACGAGCAGCTCGAGGAGCTAGAGAGGCTCCGCGACTACGTGGCCGAGCTCGAGGAGCAGCACAAGGAAGAGGAAAGTGGACAGGATGCGGTCGGGCCGCCGCCTGGGCGCTTTGCTGCGCCTGTGCATGGTGGACCGCAGCCAGGAGTGCAGCCTGGCCAGCCGACGAACATGTACCAGCAGCACCCGCCGCCACCGCCGCCCGCCGCTCCCAGCCCGATGGAGGTCATTATGCAGCAGATGATGGCAAAGATGGCACAGCAGGATCAGCAGATGCAGTTCATGATGCAGGCGATGGGGTTTACTCAGGCGCCGCCGGGGCAGGCGGCGCAGGCAGCGGCAGCGGAGGCGAAGAGGCAGGTGGAGCAGGAGGCGGCAGCGAGGGCGGCGCAGCAAGCACACGAGGCGATGTACGGCACGGCGACGCCGCGGCCGTCGATGGCGTCCTCGCCCATGCAGCCGCCAGTCATGCCCGTGTCGTCGCAGCCCCCAGTTGTGCCGGAGCCGATGGTGGTGGACGCGTCGCCGCTGCAGCCGCAGGGGCGATTGGCAAGCCCCAGCTCGCCGCCCCCTGGTCAACCGACGCCGCCGACACCGCAGGCGCCAGCGCCCAGGACGCCGATCGTGGGCACCACAGGGGGCTTGAGGTCGCCAGCCGCGCCCGTCAAGCCGCCGTCGCCCGCGGAGGACGCCAGGGAGGTCGACACCACCCCGATCGCCGCGACGCAGCAGGCGGAGCCCGAGCAGGTGGAGCCGCCCGTCTGGCCGACGCCTATCTCGCCGACACAGCCGATGGTGAACAGCTCTCAGATCGACGATCCATACGTGGTACCGCCGCAGCACAGTGTGACCTACACGTCGCCGACGGACTCTACTGTGCAGAAGGAGATCCGCAGGCTCGACAAAGAGAAGAGGGATTTGGAATTGTCGTCACCGCCGAAGAAGGAGCCCAGGAATCAGATCGCATCCGTGCCAGAGGCTCGTACGGCAGCAGCCAGGGCCAAGGCCCAGCCAGCGGCGCCTGCAGGCGGTGCATGATCGCGGATGTCGTTGATGGTGTTAGCGGTGCCTGCAGGGATGTTGCGGCACCTACCTGGACGACCAGATCAACGGACTCAAGCTATAACCATGCACTTTTTTCGCCTCTGCGCATTTTTTCTCCTGATGGGGTGCGGCGGGTCAGGTGGGATGGGACCATCTGTGCAGCCAATACCCCCGAGTATGCAACAGCTGACCATACGCGTCGAACCTTTGAACGTTCGCCTTCAGGTCAGTCCCAACCTAGGGCCACTATGGCCTACATGTGGGGTGATGATGCCGCCCTGGAGGATTGGGCGGATCTTGATTTAAATGACGAGGCGTCTGACATGAGCCCACTACAGGTGAGCGCATCCCAGCGAGAGCGCGAGTCAGCAGCAGCATCCGCCAGCGCGGAGGACGCAGAGTGGCAGCTATGCGATCCGTGCGTGCCGCGTGAGAGTCAGGATGGGTGGCTGGGCGGGTGGAGACTTGTCGGGGGGGAGAATAACTCTGACAGTGCAAGTTTAAGCTCTTGCGAGCTAGCTGACTGGGACCTATGTCAGCGGGCTGGCGAGAATGACATGCAGTTAAGCAACAGCTGTTCAGATGTTGGGATCGGCGGTTTTGAGCTTGCAGGCGAGGGGTATACGCCACTTGCGAGCACGCCAGCCAACAATACCATTGCACCCAGCGCAACCTCAGGCACCAATCGCGTTTTGGCCCAGCGGTCCGTGTCCTGGGGTGGCGTGGACGTTTTAACGTTTGTTGCGGATGAGCCTGTTGGTGAATGCAGCGTCACAAGCGATGATGACCCAGGTAGGAGCCCGACACCAATGGTCATATGTTTGGATACGCTCATCAGTCCTGCCCATGGCTATGTAAGTTGTGACTTTGCAGGTGCCGATCGGATCGTTCGCCGTATCGTTGCTCAGGCCCCTGTCAGGTTGCTCACCGACATAGGCAATGTCGAACTCAAGTTGGTGTCCGAGTTTGCGCTGGGTGTCGCAGAGCGGTGTGACCGCCCCCTCGGCCCCGTCGCGCTCTATACCGACGGCTCCCTCACCAAGGATGAAGGGTCGAGTGGATGGGCCATGATTGCCACTTGTATGGATGAGGAAGGCGATGTCCGATTTTTGGGTCTTTTGGCCGGAGAGGTTGTTGCCACGCTTGGATTCAATCTCGAAAAGGGAAGTCAGCAGCGTCACAGCTGAGCTTGTTGGCATCGTCTGGGCCCTGGTCTGGACTGTTGCGCAGGCTGAGGTAGGAGGGGACCTGGGGTCTCGGTTTCCTGTTACCATCATGTCTGACTCTCAAGTTGCCATAGATATCACGTTGGGTATTAACGTTGGACACGCCGAGCCTCAGCTTGCTGCCCTTGCCAGACATCTATATGAGCTTGCACGTGCCAGGGTCCACATAGCGCTGTTGCACATATATGGGCACAATAAGAATTGTTGGAACGAGTTGGCAGACGACATTGCGAAGTCCACACGCACCCTCCAGTATGACTGTGTGGACCCTGCACTCGTGCGCGAGATGTATTTTACCCCGTCTTTGGCTTGGAACTGGATCGCAGAGCTAGGGTCAGCTGAGCGACAACAGTATCCCTTTCACGGGCAATACCAATTTCGTATGCCAGACCATCCGCAGTGTTGTGATGTTGCAGGTGCTGGCACTTTCGTGCAAGCCATCCCCGAGACTTGTGGTCAGTTTGATTGCAGCGAGAGCGTGAAGAAGGCCGTGCTTCGCGAATTCGTTCTTGCCAGCTACAACGCTGAATCCGCTCAGGACCTCGTTCGAGGCGAGCGCACAGTGTTTCGAGGGCAGTGGCTTAGGCAGCAGTTTGCAGAGGCGGCGGTGCTGTTGGTCGGCATACAGGAAGCGCGGACCCCCAGAGGCAGTAGGTCTGCCGACGGTTTTTTCTGTTTTTTCGACGGGCCCCGAGGGTGGTAAAAATCTTGGTTGTGAGCTTTGGGTCAATGCCGCGGTTCCGTATGCCAAAGTTGGGGGAAGGGACGTCTATCTCAAAGCTGCTCATTGTCTCGTCGTGGAGGCGGAGCCGCGTAGCTTGGTCGTCAAGATCAGCGCCCCGCATTGGAGCACAGTCGTAATGGTCTGTCATGCACCCTGCCCAGAGGCGAAGATAGACGTTCGCAAGCGGTGGTGGGACCATGCTAAGAAGCTCGTCAGCCGCTTTGGCGTTGATATCATTCTAGGAGATGCCAACGCACGTATGGGAGACAAACAGTCAGAGGTAGTAGGGACTTTCGGAGGCACTTCGGAGGACAGTAATGGGGAGTTTTTCCATGCTTTGTTATGTGAGGCACGTTTGGCCGCCGTCACCACCATGTCCCCTGCGGCCACGCCTACATACACATACATGCACCACTCTGGGTCCCAGCATCGCATCGACTACGTTTGTGCTCCGCTATGCTTGGCATGCCATGTCACGGAGCATGGGGTCCTACACGATATCGATGTCGACCGCAGGCACCAGGACCACTACCCAGTTTATGCTAAGTTTCGGTGGAATGAGCACATCATGGTCGGTAAAAGGGTCCCCGCTATAGATGTGGCTGCCACGCGTGATCCTGTCAAGCGTGAGGCTTTTAAGAAGGATCTCCTGGATTGCCCCCCTTTGCACTGGTCCCTTGATGTGAACCGTC